GTTATTTCTAGCACTAACAATAAACAAGCTTAGAGCTATGATATCAGTTCAATCGATATGCATGAGCTGTTTTTAATTGAGGTTAGAGATTTGTATTTTCTTCTGAAGAACAATCTATAATTACTGACAAACTTTTCTAATTCGCAGTTTTGACAGTTTTCATTTTCTCAATTAAATAAAGCAGTGATTCTACCCATTCTGCGAAACTTTTCTAGTACAGTGCCTGTTGCATTTACAAGTCCCAAAGCCATGACTTTTTAAAATCTACCTGGTGAGATTTGAATAGGGCCTGTAGTTTAGCTAATAGTACTACACTGGTGTCAAGTTCCCTAGTTTCAAAAACTATGCTATAGTTATACAGATATTAAAACTGGGGAACTTGTGTTAGGCAAAATATGGGCTGTGGCATATGGATATACAGTAATATGCCTCTGTACTAGTTTGTCAACTCTTCTATAAACTTAAAATTAGTTCAAAGTAAAAAATAAATATATATATATACATATATGTGTGTATATATATATATATAGAGAGAGAGAGAGAGAAAGATAGGTAGATAGATAAATTGCATTTTATATGACTTCAATGCTACTTAATGTGTTACACAAAATCTTTATTGCCAGAGTAGGCATTTGCCTCTTGGGATGCCCTCATTCCATATTAGAACGCCTGGTTTGAGTCCTGGCTCTGCTTGCAATTCAAGATTCCTGATAATATGCACCTTGGGAAGCAGTAGGTGATAGCTCAAGTATTTGGGTCCCTGCTGCCCATGTGGGAAAAGTAGATGGAATTCTGGGCTCCTGGCTTCAGCCTTGATCAGCCCTGGTTATTGTGAGCATTTAGAGAGTGAACCAAGGGACGGCAGATCTCTTTCTGTTCTACCTTTCTCTATATTTCACTCTGCTTTTCCAAATAAAATTAAATTTAAAAAAATTTAAAACTTTACCAGTCACAGACATGCTAAATATGAAAACTGAAAGCAAGCAATCAGAAATTTTTATAATAATTTGAGATTTTCACATTATTTGAGTATATTATCCCTTATGTAAAGATTTATTTTTATTTCATTAAAATTTATTTATTAATTTATGGGAAGACAGAGAGAGAGAGAGAATGCTCATCAGCTGATTGACTCCCAAAATGCCCAGTACAGCCTGGGCTGGTCCAACCCAACACCAGGAACTGGTAACTTAATCCAGGTATCCCCATTGGTGGCAGGAACCTAACTACTTGCACCATCATCATTGCCTCCCAGGGGAGTATATTAATAAGAACTAGAATCAGGATCAGGAACTGGGTATTAAGCCCAGGTATTCAAATGCGGGACACAGGCATCTCTCTCTCTCTCTCTCTTTTTTTTTTTTTTTTTTTGACAGGCAAAGCTAGTGAGAGAGAGAGAGAGACAGAGAGAAAGGTCTTCCTTCCCCCCCCCCCCCCCCCCCCCCCCGTTGGTTCAATCCCCAAATGGCTGCTATGGCCAGCGCGCTGCGCCAATCCGGAGCCAGGAGCCAGGAGCCAGGTGCTTCCTCCTGGTCTCCCATGTGGGTGCAGGGCCCAAGCACCTGGGCCACAGCAGAGAGCTGGACTGGAAGAGGGACAACCAGTGTCCCATCTGGGACTAGAACTCGGGGTATCAGCACCTCAGGCAGAGGATTAACCTAGTAAGCTGTGGCGCCGGCCTTGACACAGGCATCTTAACTAGCATCTTAACCACTAGGCTAAATGCTTGCTCTTATTTTTTAAAAGCATTAGCCTGTGTTAGTCAGGGTTCTCTAGAGAAACAAAACCACAAAACCAACAGGATGCAGATGTGGATAGATAGACAAATAGATATTTTAAGAAATTGGCTCACGCAATTCTGGAGGACTGGTGGGTCCACAATATGATGGGCCAAGCTAAAAGGCTGAGATTCAGAGACATGCAGAGCATAAAGGCAAAATTCCTTCCTATTCAAGAAAGGTCAGGACTTCAGCTGTTGAGGTGAGGCCCACCCCCGTTAAGGAAAGGAATATGATTCAAAGCTCGCTGATTTATTTATTTTTTTTTACAATCTTCTTTTTAAACTTTTATCTAATAAATATAAATTTCCAAAGTACAGCTTATGGATTACAATGGTTTTCCCCCCACCCATAACTTCCCTCCCACCCGCAACCCTCCCATCTCTCACTCCCTCTCCCATTCCATTCACATCAAGATTCATTTTCGATTATCTTTATATACAGAAGATCAATTTAGTATATATTAAGTAAAAGCTCACTGATTTAAATGTTAATTTTATTTAAAAAAAACTTCACAGAAACATTGAGAACAATATTTGACCAAATATATGGGCACTAGGTGACAGACAAGTTGACGTATAAAACTAACCAACACATGGTTTATGACAGATTAGAAATTTATAAAACAAAGGATAAAGACCCCTCACAGGAGATAGTCTGAGAAACATTGTATAAGATAATTTTTAATAGTCCACCAAATAGTTGCCTTACTAAAAAAACACTCAGATTAAAAATGTTCATGTGATGAGGTAACAAGGAAAAATATCAGGAGCAATGTTCTGGCTAGTATGGGATGATGAGGACCTAATCATATTTTTTTTTTCTCCTGACAAATAGGTCAGGGCCATTGAAACCCACCATTAGGCACTGGACATAATTTGCAATGTTCTAATCTACAGTTTTCAAACTGTCGCAATTCACAGCATCTTTGTGCCTCTGTAAGTTTTCCACAGAGCACCTAAGCCTAAAGAAATAATAGAAATTCCGTTTATCTAGTAGTTAAGGCCCAACAAATAAGCTGCTTGTTTGGGGGAAAAAAACACGTAAGTGGAAAGAAAAAAAAGCTTTTATTTCATTGTTCAATAATCACAGTCACTTATAAAAGTGTATATGCCAATTGAATACCAAACATCTCTTCAAATCTTGGAACCCATTCAGACACCAGCACCTTGACCTCTTATTTCACTCTGATTTTCTCTTGGTACTTGCACTGTTTAACAACAACTGCAAAAACTCAGCTTCCCCGGGTCACACAGCAGACTCATAGAATGGCAGATGTCGTAAACAGCACTCTGGCCTCAGAAGCAGCCCTTAAGGCATTCGATCTGGCTGAAGAGCCCATGAGACTATTTTAGGCATGGAAAGCCAAGACACTCTGGCAAAAAAAAATTTATATATATATATATATATATATATATATATATATATATATATGAAAGATCTCTGCGAGTGAGATCCCAGTGAAAAGAACGGGCCATCAAAGAAGGAGGTACGTTTCTCTGAAGGGAGGAGAGAACTTCCACTTGGACTATGACCTTGTTTAGAGTCAGCGAATTCAAAAGGCTTCCATAGCCTTGGCAACTCATGACAAGAGCTAGGGTGATTACTGATGCCATAAACAAGAGTGTCAATTTGTTAAGTCAACAACAGGAGTCACTGTGCACTTACTCCTCATATAGGATCTCTGTCCTTAATGTGTTGTACAATGTGAATTAGTGCTATAACTACTACTCAAACGGTACTTTACACTTTGTGTTTCTGTGTGGGTGCAAACTGTTGAAATCTTTACTTAATATATACTAAATTGATCTTCTGTATATAAAGATGATTGAAAATGAATCTTGATGTGAATGGAATGGGAGAGGGAGCGGGAGAAGGAAGGGTTGCAGGTGGGAGGGAAGTTATGGGGGGGGCACTGTAATCCATAAGCTGTATTTGGAAATTTATATTTGTTAAATAAAAGTTAAAAAAAAAAACTCAGCTTCCCAAAGATAAACCACCTTTGAAACAAATTTAGCACAATCTAATGTTGAAACTGTGAACCACCCTGAGCTAGTAGTTTACTCCGTATCCAACAGAGACCAAGTGTCACTGTGTTTCCTGGGACCTTTAAAATGTGCATAGCACCCCCAAGAGTTTGTTGTGGTGTCCTGGTCTCCTTGCACATAGTATGGGAACCCTGGCTCTATTATTTTCCATTTTTACTTCAGTTCTGTCATTTGCAAAACACAAGCATCTACTTTAAGTGTCTAATAACTACATCAGTGAAACCTGAGGTTAAACAGAATACAGCATTTACTGTCATGTTTTGACTCTGTCCTTCCACTGCTAGAGCTCAAAACACTGTAAAGTCCCTTCGTGTTCTGCTTCTTCCTCTGCGGTGAACACAGTAGAAAACTAGGTGTCCCCCAATGGCCATGCTTTTCAGATACATGCCTAAGAGAGCATAACAAAATCTTCTGCTCTGTTATATATTTAGGTAAGAATACAATTCCTAACTGTATTATTTTTAAATGAATATGTAGATTGAGGCTGAAGGCAATATAAAAATTAGGTATAATTTGGTACTTTTCTCACTAATTGATAACTATTTCAATCACATCTTAATCAAATTCTGATTTTTCTAAACAATTATATTTATTTCACTCACTCTAAATTCCTGTAATTGTAGTCATAATTCCTTTGGATTGTATAAGTGACTCTGACACCAGTTTGGCTGGTATGAATAGTTGGAGAGATGACTGCCTTCTGTTCCTGTTTCTAGATTTTTCCTGGTTCATTCTTCCTAGGCAGTAGAAAGAAGGAGGGGGGCAGGAGAGCGAGCTCTTCTGTCTCCTGTAAGATTGATTATTCCTCACAAGAAACGCTGTGGCTTCATGCGCTCGAGGACAGGTATTGGACGTCTGATTGCAGCAGGGCAGTGCCCTCCCCACTGGTCCCCTTTCCAACCAGGCTGATGATGAACCTCTCTCCTCTGGCTCGCTGGGGCTTTGCTAGAAATCTGATGTCAACAAATACACTAGATTTTTGTGCTTTAATCTGTTTAGCATTTTGAAAGTGTTGCAAGAGTTAGGTACATTATTCATTCAACAATAGCTATGTTCCAATTACCTGCAGGGGATTAGCTGGATACCTGTTTGGAGAAGGTATCCCAGAAAGCACCTCACTGTATTTAGACTCCACTGGCACACAGCCCTCAGCGGGGAAGGCTGATATGATAGATGGTGTTCAGTAAAAATTAAAAGCCCAGGAAAAGGCAAGTCCCTAGGCCAGAACAAAGCAGTCGAGTGATGGTTCCTTCTGGGAATAGGGGTGGAGGTCTTCTCTTTATCTGTTCCTGGGGATACAAGTGAAGTTTTTGTGCTTCTTTGCTTTTGTTGAGCTAATTTCAGGAGTGGTAAATTAAGGGTCTCTCCAACTGAGAGCTGACAGGGGACGACAAAACAAAAGAAGCCGAACCAGATTCCTAAATGTTCCTTGCATTGCAAAACAGGAGGGAATTTTCACAAGCAATGAGAGACCAGCCCACCCCCACACCTCCCCTAGACAAGGTTTCTGCCTTCCTGACTCATCGGGTTTCTTTCCGAAAGCCTGGTGAGAGGGATTATGAAGCAGGCAAAGGAGCCAGCCTTTTCTGGCAACACTGGGCATTTTGATTTCAGATGCTGCAAAACTTCGAGAACAGATCGGCATGATAGTGTTCTAGGCTGGCGTCCAGCAGCAGCTCTGCTACAGATGAGGCAGATCAGATGGCTGATGCTGTCAGCAGGAGAGCCGAGGACTTTCCTGGGGCTATACCTCTCCGGAAGTTTGAGGATGCTGGGACAGGTTTGCCAACTGAAACGTGCAAATGTCACCAGCCGGGAGTGGCAGATGCCAAGAGGCGTCTGAAAACAGAGCTCCATCTGGCCATGGGTTAGGCTTCCTGGGACTCTGATTAGAGGAGTTTGAAACAAAGTGGCGGAAGCACTGGCTTAGTTTTTCACATATTGTTATAGTCTCTGGGTCATTTCCTGCCTTTGGAATTTATTTCCTTTCCAGGTTCAGCAAAACTGGGTGAATGACAAGAAAGAGGTTGGGGTGTGTCTCTGCTTCCGGCAGGTGGAGGGGTAGCTCTGTGGCTGTGGACTTCGGTCTTGGCAGTGTTGCCTATTCCCACACCCCTGTTTGCTTAAACTGAGCCCGGTTAGGGGGCAGCCTCAGAAATGGAACAATAAATTAGGGAAGGGAGCCATCTCCAGTTGAGTCGGATGAATCCTCTTATTCCCAGAAAACAGAAAGGCAAAGAATTGATTGGGAGGAACAAGAACGATGGTTTATCAAGGGAGGCTCTTTCCCACCAGCACCCCCTTCAGGGAGGCAGGCCACCTTGCAGGCAGGAGGCTAAGGGCAGCTCTGGACCTACATGGCCTTGCGGCCCCCATCTCCAGGAATGGGCCAGCAGGCCCGTCAGCTACACAGAACTGTGACATATACTATGCAGCAATGGCCTGCTTGGTCATATTTTGCTGGTATTTATTTCCCACTTTGTTCCAACAGGGATTTTAAATAGCAATAACTGGCTACCTAGGAGCATTTTTAGGTTTATTTTGGGCCTTTTGAAGCTGACACAAATCCTCATTGTGAGATCTTTCTGCAGCCCCTAGCATGCCCTGCATGCTCACTACAGTTCTGCAGTGCAGAGACCCTCAGAAGCCAAGGAGGACCCTCTTTCCCTGAGAGCTGCAGGAGCCAATTAAAATCAAATGCTGAGGGGCCGTTGTTGTGGCACAAAGAGTTAAGCTGATGCTTGCAATGCTGCACCACATATCAGAGTGCCAGTTCAAGTCCCAGCTGCACCACTTCTGACCCAGCTCCCTGCTAATGGTCTGGAAAAAGCAACTGAAGATGGCCCAAGTTCTTTGGCTCTGCCACCCATATTGGAGAATTAGAAGAAGTTCCTGATTTGGGCCCGGCCCAGCCCTGGCCATTCTGGCTATTTCAAGAGTGAACCAGCAGATGTAAGATCTTTCTGTCTCTCTCCTTTCTCTCTATAGCTCTACCTTTCAAATAAAAAAATAAATCTTACACACACACACACACACACACACACACATAAATGCTATGCTTGCTGCCCCATCAGTTCTCTGCAGTTTTCTCTCTAGATTGTGATCTATCATTATAAGAGCCTCCTGAAAAGCCAGCTCAAACAGCCCTTGTCGTGTCGGGAAGAACGTTGTGGGGCCTATTCATATTGCCTGAGTCTTTCTCTCAAGTCCAGGATGTCAGAGTTCATAGAGTAAGGGGCAACTTTTGGCCCAGCCCTCAGTGTAAACATACTAACACAGCAGCAACTGTACCAGCCAAGACACAGGAAGTCACAATTGATGACTAGCCTTTCTCCTGGTATCCCCTGGCTCCCAAAAGGAAGGACGAAAGCTTCCTCTCATCAGTTTCAACGGACTCTGCCCAAGGCTGTAGATCCACCACCACTGGAGGCTGGCAGAGAGGGGCAGCTGCCTTGGATTAGCACTGTGGCTCAGGAATCACTCTAGCTGATCTTTCCCAAACACACTATCTCTCTTTTTTAAGTTTTATTTATTTATTTGAATTACACAAATAGAGAAGGAGAGGTCTTCTTAATTGGCCACAACAGCTGGAGCTTCGCCGATTCGAAGCCAGGAGCTTCCTCTGGGTCTTCCCATGCAGGTGCAGGGGCCCAAGGTCTTATGGCTTTCCCAGGCCATAAGAGAGAGCTGGATTGGAAGTGGAGCAGCCAGGATGCAAACCGGCGCCCATATGGGATGCTGACACTGTAGGCAGCAGCTTTATCTGCTATGCCACAGTGCTGGCCCTCCCACACTAACTCATCAGATGCTTCCAGAAAAGGGCATCCTGTGACCTTCACAGCCCTGGTTCCTGGAAACATTTAGAATGTTCTAGCAAAAGATTGTGATTAGTTAAACTAAAGGTGGCTCTAGAAATAGTAGGGTCAGGAACACCTGTAGAGGATAATTTTCAAGGTCTATGCATGAGCCCCTTCCTTCCCTCACAAAAGGGCAGTCTGGTAGATTAAACCATTCCATTCCATGTCCAAGTGTAACCCGGGACTGTAAATTTGAAAATCATTGCTTTGAAATGTTAGAGTCTGGCAGGGGCCAGGAATTTGTATTTTTTATCAAGTCCACCTGCAGATGCTGGTACAGGTGGTCTATGTCACATATACTGAGGAAAACTGCTGTAAGGAATGAAGTCACTGTTATATCAGCATGGTTGAACTGGTAATACAGCTCAGCACTGCACCTGGAACCAAGGCCAGGCTTTGGCACTCTGTGGGACCTTGGGCAAGAGTCCCTGAGACTGAAGGCCACTCCAGTGGCTAGCCAGACTCTAAATTATGGCCCAAAGACCTATGAAGTAAGGAGGGCTAGGCCACCAGGACTCTCCAGGCATGCCCTGCACATACCCCAAAATCCTTCAGTGCAGAAAACTCTCAGGGTTAAGGGAGATCCTCTGAACCACAGCAGCAGGAACACCTTTCTTTGCCTTCAGCCATCTCCAGTTAGGAGACAGAGAAAAGGAGAATGATAGATTTAGTTAGTGCTTCATATACTTTTCTTAAATTCTCAATTAACCTTACTCTCAAGACTCCCATTTTGAAGATGGAGGAACTGAGGATCAAACCCGCTGAATAACTTGCCCAAGTTCCCAAGGTCACCTGATTATTGAGTGCTCGAAATAAAATTTGAACTCCTGGCTGTCAGGATCCAAGTTCCAAGCTCTTTCCACAAAACCACTCATAGCTGAAAACTTTGCTGTGTTCATTCTGAAACCTGGTTGTGCTGGGATCTCTCCCCTCTCCCTGACCTTATTCCCACACCTGTCTTCCACCCTACTTCAAGGTCTCACCTCACCTTTGGACTTCGCTGATCAATCCCTCAGCTGTGCTCACTCCTTATCCCCAGGGATAAAACAGTATGCTGCCACCACTCCTAGGCCCAGGGGTACTTTCTGGCCCATAGTGTTTCTAGTTACTGAACTGAAAATCAGTCAGTCCTAGAAGATTTGAGTTTTCATGGATTTGAGAATTCTCAAATTCTTGAGAGGCATTTGTGCACTTGCTAATTTGAACACACACATGCCCAAGCTACTCAGGGCAAGGATACAAGATTACAGGAAACATGGGTCAGCCAGTGTCCTTTTATCAAGAAATGCCCCATGAAACCTCAGCTTCCTGATATTAGTTACTATTCTGGGATTCTGGGCACCCCCTAGTGGGAGTCACAGAGAGGGAAGACAGACTGTTTTGATGCTGTTCTCAATAACCCATCCACCCCCAACTTCCTGCCCCGTAGCTGCCTTTGCCTTCCAGCCCATCTACAGTTCTTAAAATGATTCATTCTTCCCACGATGATTGGGCCTTTTGCCCCAACAACCCTCCCGGTCTTTACAGACATAATGAACTAAAATGAAGCAGAAGGCAACTCAGGCAGAACAGCAGGAAAAATTTCCTATGGCAAGAGCCTGAAACCCTGAAACCACCTTATAAGGCAAACTAAGACCGAACTGTGCTGGGCAAAACAATAGAGACTGTGTGAGAAAGATATTTTTGGAAGTGAGGAGCATGAGGGAACGGCGGCTACTTGCCTGATTTCCTATGTTATGCCCATATCAGACACTCTCAGCCTGATTTCACCACTTCTAATAATGCCCTGGGCTATGTCTTACCCCTTCTAGGGCAAAGGGAACACCCAACATGTATTCATTTTGGAATCAGTGGATGAAACTGTTCCAGCATGGGGACCTAGTACTACACACCACCCTGGGACACTCTTAACATTGGTAAAATATCACTGGTCATTTTAAAAGCCATTGCTGCAGACCCCTGCGACAGGGGATAAGCCCTATTAGGTTGTAACCAACAAAGTATTTCCCAAGTACCTACAATATACTAGATTCAAGGACCCTGTGCATGTTTAAGATCTGCCTCCATGTAGTTTAGTCCCTCGTCCAAGGGAACGGCCTTAATAAAAGACAGAGAGAGCTAACATGTTTGAGGGCACATGCTAAGAATCCTTGTGAGCATATTCACAGTCCATATTTTATTTCATGCAGTATGTTCATTGGAGAGGGGTCAGCCAATCTCATCCTACAGTCCAGTGTCTGTCGCTAAGGGATATGACGGTTACATAACATCCTACCTCCTAGAATGACTTTGGTTGCTATGATCTTGCTCGTTCCTCTACTTGAGTCATCAACTCATTAGTGCCCATTCAACTTGGCTTTCTCTGATAAATCCCCTGAACGCTTGCTCGTAATGCTACCAATTCCAGCACAGGATTTGCTCTGCTCTGGCTCCAGTCGCATCTTGAGCTCAGTGGCTTGGACAGTCTAATCTCCCAACTGCTTACAATGTTGATCCCTTTCATCTTTTCTTTCAGAGCCATTTGCTGATATTCATCTTTCTGACAACCAAGAATTTGGGAAGAATCTCTCCCTGCAGGCACTCTCATTTTTGTGCCCAGATTGGCAGCCTTCCAAACTCACCAGAGGCTTCACAGAATGAAACTCTCTGTGGAGAATTAGAGGACAAATTGGATACAAGTTCACTGAAGTTTGAGAGAAAGATGATAAGGTCAAAGACACTCCATCTTGGTTAGCCTCTCGGGCCCAATAGCAGGAGCTGGAATTTCCACTTGGGCTTCAATTAAAGGCATATTTAGTCCGGAAACCTTTGGCCTCCACTCTGAATGGAAGGCTCCTGGGCGGAGTAAGGCTCTCACTTGGCAGGAAGGACCCACTGAAACCTAGTTCCACTGCCTTCCCTAACCTGGGAAGACACAAAAGCCATGGTGAGTCAGCTGAGCCACTAGAGTGCTTCTGTAAGCATGTACAATGTTCTAAATCATGTCAACTGACCCATCTTTTATAAGGAAGGGTGATGATATGTTTACATGCTCAGAGGAGAAAAGATAGGGAGAGAAAATGCGATTTAAAAAGAACAAACTTAACTAATAGAAGCTTTGGGTGGCTGGAAGGAAAGTAATCTACAGACTCCAGCTCTAACAGTTGGAGATAAGGGAACCTCCACGACCTCTGTGTCTAGCACAAAGAAATAAAAACTCAGTCATAAATCCACAGATGAAGGTACATTCATCTGAGGAGAGGACTAAATAAGCTGTTATATTTCAAACATACAAAGACTACAAAAATGAACACTTTGAAACTGTAAGTAGGAGCGTTTCTTTCCTGCAAGTCACCATGAATCAGATTAGACACCAAAGGGAAGGTTACAAAAAAAGTCCTTTTCCATCAGGTTCAGAAGCGTGAATATGCGCTGTTTGTAGTGAACTGAATGCCTAATACTGGATGCTTTCCAAGAAAAAGCAAAAGGTGAGCCACCAGAGCAGTCATGGGAAATTCAGGTGTATCCTTTGTTGGTAAGGACAAAAATAAGGTGCCTTAGCTGAGCCAGTGCTGCAGCAAACAGAAATCAGTTGTATACAGCTTGGGAGGTGCCCAGGGGACAGAGCTACGGATTTTACCTTTAGAGAGCCAAAATGGGTGCCAAAAACCATGCAGAGGAATAGTCCTAAGCTTCCTATGGCAGTACCTATGGGAAGTTAAATATCTCTTATCTGCTAATATCCCCAAGGAATGGAGTTTTCTGCCAGCTGGAGATCCCATAGGAAAGACCGGTATCTAGGTTTTGGATGATGTCCCAGGAAACCAGGTGAGGGCTGGAACTGTGGAAAGAGAGTCAGGATATGTAATTCCTAGGAAAGCTGGATGAGAGTTATTGGCACTGCACTCAGGCAAGGGAGAAGAGGCTAGGTGTGTCAATGAAGGGTGGCTGTGTGCATTTCAGAGCCTAGGAAACGTTTATGGAAGAAATTTCAATAAATATGGGACATAAGTTCACTCTTGATGTCCTAAAACATTTTCTCCAGCTGAATTACTGATTCTTAAAGCCACAGTTTAAGGAAGTTCTAAATAACACTGAAGCTAAGATATGCCAAAAATTGGGCAAGATGACCAAATCTGTTTCCTACATCCAAGGGAACAAGCCAAGCCCACCAAAAAGCCCTGTGTGACTTGAAGGGGTCAGTAGTTGGGTTTCTGAATCAAACTACCTGGAGTCAAAGGAAGCACTCTGGTCTTCACTAACTTGATTCCCACCCCTTGCTCTGCAAAGGCTGTAAACTGCTCTGCAGCATCCTTCACACCTTTGTCGTCTTTCTCGCTCTTTCTTCACTTATTTCCTGTGGTGTCCTGGAGCCAGCTTGTACCACCCTCCCAACCCTGTGTTCAGAAATGCCTTGCTGGCAGCTTCCCAAGAGCTGAGGTGGGAGTATCCATACAATGGAAATTGGCAAACACTGCAAATCAAAGCTTTATAGTTTTTTTCTGGAGAACATTTGTTAAATATCTATAGTACATCATGCTTGTAGCTGAGAGGTCTTACATGGGAAAAGGGGGGAGGGCTGTGAACCGAGGGGAAGAATGTAAGAAGCTTGGGGATGGGAACCGAGAAGCCCGAGTGGTACACACCACAGGGAAGTGGAGGAGCGCCAACACTGTTATGCCTCCCTCACAAACACACAGTTCGTCTCCAACACAAGCTTGGAGTCAACATTTCACAGTCTCTCATTGAGAACCTGTTCTGCAAATCCCATGATGTGGAGGCCATTATCTACTGATTTGGGGGGTTATTTTCCTTATATAACACTTTTTTGAGGTTTGTGGTACAGAATATATTAATTTAGGTACACCATGCACACTCTCTACTCTGTTATTAAACCTTGCAGCAGATTGTACATTTTATACTCTGTACCACATGAGGCATATTTCCATTTTTTTTTCTATTGTGAATCTGAAGTATTTTCATACCCATTCAATCTCCTTTTCCCCTTCCAAACCCTCACCTAACAGTGTGTTCTTTCCTTCCCCCAGTATGCTTCCTATTTACCTTTTTTTTTTTTTATTTTATTTTTTTATTTTTTTTGACAGGCAGAGTGGACAGTGAGAGAGAGAGACAGAGAGAAAGGTCTTCCTTTTGCCGTTGGTTCACCCTCCAATGGCCGCCGCTGCTGGCGCGCTGCGGCCGGCGCACCGCGCTGATCCGATGGCAGGAGCCAGGATCCAGGTGCTTTTCCTGGTCTCCCATGGGGTGCAGGGCCCAAGCACCTGGGCCATCCTCCACTGCACTCCCTGGCCACAGCAGAGGGCTGGCCTGGAAGAGGGGCAACCGGGACAGAATCCGGCGCCCCGACCGGGACTAGAACCCGTGTGCCGGCGCCGCTAGGCGGAGGATTAGCCTAGTGAGCCGCGGCGCCGGCCCTCCTATTTACCTTTGAACTCAACATCTTACCTCTTTCTAAAATGTTCCTGAGCCAGATAATTATCAATCCCTCTAGAGCAGGATTTACCTTTAAGGTACACTCAAATAACCTTGGGAATTTTGTTAGAATGCGAGTTTGCATTCAATTTTGCCTTCCACAGCCATCTTTCTCTTCTACCTCTTCTACTTTAAGAATTGCCATCTACATTTTCTGAGGAACAATCCCCCACAGGAGATTGGACTAAGAGCAGAAATATGAATCAAGCACATGCCAGCTAGAGTCAGATTTGCTTTCAAGAATGTGAACTAGAATGTTATCCCAGCTTGACTCTCCCTGCCCCCCAACAGAGACTGAACAGAAATTTGTATGCAGTAATCTTTTCGAGGATCTCCCAGAGAACAGGAATGGAGCTTATGAGGAGTGAAAGAATGAAAGAAGAAAAACCAGTACAAACAGATGTTACTGAACTGGTCATGGCAAAGAACAACAGGTAATTAACAACCTGCTAATAAGCCTTAGTATTATCTCAAACATCTATTCCGCCTTTCTCTTAAGAACAGGAAATGTAAAATGCTTGATAATCCTTTATTTTCCAGTTTTCAATTATTGACTTGTTTCCCCCAGAACACGCCAAAAGTCACCTCCAAATATTATGTTAGGATGAATATGAATTCAGGGGCTTCATTATATTTCATGTATTTCAATCCATTGTAGTTATTATTCTAATTAGTGCTCAAATTATCCCATCTTTGGCCAGTAGAAACTTATTTGTGTTGGCTCCTCAGTCTTTTAGTCCAATTCCAGTAGACTTTAACAGCATCCTTCACTTCTTGTGTAGGGTATTTCAGATAAGCTCTATCCAATACAACTTTTTGTGATGACGGGAATGTTTTACATCTGTACTTTAAGATCCAACAGGCACTAGCCACATGTGGCTATTAGTACTTAAAATGTGGCTAATGTAACTATGGAAATTAACTTTAAATTTAGTTCTATTTTGATACGTTTTATTTTAAATAGGCCAATACCCTGGTTGCCAACATATTAGAGAGCAAGTTCTAGATTAATTGTATAACAAATGAAGAAATTTAAGTACAGAGAAGCAGGAATGTCTGTGGTAAAAATTTAATCCTTATCGTTAGAACAGCACAGTGACTGATTGCATCTAAGTAATTTGTTAATCCTTTGTAAGAAAAGAATTTCTGTGCCTCTCCTCCAGATACTCTAGTTCATTATATACGAGTGATGCTCAGGAATATGTTGTTTTATTGTTGTTATTTTAATGTTGCTGTGTGATTCTGATGAGCAGCTAAACGTAGGAGCCACTACATTAGATTGCTGGAATGTGCCATTTATGTTACAGTTATGGTTCATTGAAAATCATCCCAATGAATCAACTGCCCATCGTGAACTCCGTGTGGCCAGTTAGAGGACCACTGTGCTCTGCTAGTCATGTAATTAAGAGCGATGGCAATCGGTACATGGGGAAGCTTGCCTCTCTCCAGCTTCAGAACAGGCCTCTGGCTCTCATTCATCCATAATTAAAAGACACAAAGCCAAGTCAAGAGTGGACCGCCTTCATCCTCAGACCAGCTGTCATGACCCCATTGTACCTCCTTTGTATGTCAAGAACTGTGAGAGCTCTGAGAATTTACCCTGCTTGCCCAGTAACAAGTCAGCCTGCCACAGATTCTTGGATGCTTGAATGGAGACTCCTAGTCCATAGACAAATGACTTCATTACACACAGCATTGCAAGCAATGTGAAATTCAAGTTTATATGGGTTCTTCTTAACCCCCAAAGTGGTAACAGAATAGGCTGGATAAACACTACACACACATACAAATACACACACACATACACACACACTGGGTTCCATCACAGCTAAAGAATCCCAATGCTTTATGAATGGGCTATAAATCAAACTTGTCACTTCACCCTGAAAAGGATACATTGCCTTTATTGTACTATAGCAAATACAACTTCCCTCTATTCCAGAGGGAGACTCTATTACTATCTTCCAAGGTTGTTAAATATGCAAATATCCTTGATAAAACAGTCTTTTTTTTTTATTTAATGAATATAAGTTTCCAAAGTACGAATAATGGATTACAATGGCTTCCCCCCCCATACCTTCCCTCCCACCCACAACCCTCCCCTTTCCCGCTCCCTCTCCCCTTCCATTCACATCAAGATTCATTTTCGATTATCTTAATATACAGAAGATCAGCTTAGTATACATTAAGTAAGGATTTCAACAGTTTGCTCCCACACAGAAACATAAAGTGAAAAATAATAGATGATTTTTTTTTAATGATGATGAAATCAGATCAGACCTATTGTCATGTTTAATCCCAGTGAGAGTCAAGTTGGGAGTTGATAGTTTCTTTTCTTTTTTTTTTTTTTTTTTACAGAAGATCAGTTTAGTATGCATTAAGTAAAGATTTCAACAGTTTGCACCCCCATAGAAACACAAAGTGAAATATATTGTTTGAGTACTCGTTATAGCATTAAATCTCAATGCACAGCACATTAAGGACAGAGATCCTAAACAAAAGACTATCAATGCCTCTACTTGAAGACATGTGGAAATTTGAGAGAATCAAAAGAACTGTGTCACCACATATATTCCCCAGGGCAATATTTCTGGCACATGTGCAGCACAGTGAACCCTAGAATCTAAACAGAGACTACATTATATTTATAAAGACTCTTCTATTCCCTCCCAGATACAACAACTTTGGCCTTGGCTGTGTGCTCTGTGGAGGGGTAGTAATGTATTGTTGCTAGATCAGTCTTAGAAGTCATGCTATCTGGGTTCACATCTTAACTATGACACTTACCAGCTATGTGTCTTAGGGAAATTTACTTGATCTCTCTGTGCCTCAACTTCTTCATCTACTAAATTGGAATACTGTAACACTTATCTCAAAGTTATGACATAAAAAATATAAAGTATTTAACCCAAGTCATATAGCAAATCTTTAATAAATATTAGTTAATTAGTAAATATTGTTATTACCACTTATTAACTTTTTCCCATAACTTTTCCTGGCATAGTGGACCTACCTACTCATGCGTAACCCTATCACTACTGGCATCTTTAGATTTTTAATTTAGAATTAAAATTCCCAATCCTATCTTACACTCTTCTGCTGCAACCTGAAAGTCAATTTAACATTTGTTGGGTTTGATCTATACCCAGGAGTGGGCAGGCCTTGGATCACTAGCCAATCTGCCACATGTTTTTGTAAACAAACACTTTTTTTTTTCTTTAAAAAGTCACATCCATCCATTCACATATCATCTATGGCTGCTATAGTGCTACAACACAAGAATTTAGTAGGAAAGTTTGAAACATTTACTATTGGGCCGTTAAAGAAAAAGTTTGCCAATCCTTGCTTTATTCTATTTATAGATGGTATACAAACTGCCCAGTGCTCTTTAGCATAGGTTATTGTTCATTAAGGAGATCAGGTAAGTATAGGAATAAATCACTGTCTTCTCTATTCATTATGTATTACTTACATAGACCATTGATTGGCTAATGTCCATTCCACAAACAAAACATTAGTAAACTGTGGAAGAACATTAGTTTGAAGAGCAGATGTCCTAAACAGCATTCTGGCCTCAGAAGCAGCCCTTAAGGCATTCGATCTGGCTGAAGAGCCCATGAGACTATTTTAGGCATGGAAAGCCAAGACACTCTGGCAAAAAACAAACAAAAAACAAAACAAAACAAAACAAAACAAAAAACCTAAATGAAAGAGCTCTGCAAGTGAGATCCCATTGGAAAGAATGGGCCATCAAAGAAGGAGATACCTTTCTCTGAAGGGAGGAGAGAACTTCCACTTTGACTATGACCCTGTCTAAATAAGTTCAGAGTCGGCGAACTCAAAAGGCTCCACAGCCTTGGCAACTCATGACAAGAGCCTAGGGATATTACTGACACCATAAACAAGAGTGTCAATTTGTTAAGTCAACAACAGGAGTCACTGTGCACTGACTCCTCATGTAGGATCTGTCCTTAATGTGTTGTTCAATGTGAATTAACGCTATAACTAGTACTCAAACAGTATTTTTCACTTTATGCTTCTGTGTGGGTGCAAACTGTTGAAATCTCTACTTAATATATACTAAATTGATCTCCTGTATATAAAGAGAATTGAAAATAAATCCTGATGTGAATGGAAGGGGAGAGGGAGCGGGAGAAGGGAGGGTTGCAGGTGGGAGGGAAGTTATGGGGGGGGGAGCCACTGTAATCCATAAGCTGTACTTTGGAAATTTATATTTATTAAATAAAAGTGAAAAAAATGAATCCACCTTCAAAGAGGAGTAAATACAGATAGAATATGTCACTTTCATTTCTCCATAAAGTGCATTGACAAATTAATAACCCTCTAATGAAGACAGACAGATGAATATTTATGATGGCCATTGCTGATGAATATTACCCATGACCTATGTTTCATATTAGGTTTCAGAACTGAGTCAGGAGTTATGTTTAGTCCTTATAATTGAGTACATAACAAATCACCACATTTTATTAAGCCTTCAGCAATGAAAATTTTTGATATCCACCCAGAGCTTTCAACTTCTCTCACGAAATATCCTTTCAGAAGACAGAGACAGAAAGTTACTTGAGAAACCAAGCTCTAACCAAATAACAGAAATATTTATATATTCAGAGGTCAGGTTTCAATAATCTTCTGAAAGAACACCTCCAAACCAAAAAGGGCAAAAAGGGAGTGTGAGGAAGGAGTGTTTAATAATTATTGGAGGGTTTTTGTTACTAAAGCAACATATTTTAGGATTCTAACAAAAATATCCTACATCCCTGTACCCTAATATGTTTTTTTTTCATTTTCTTGTACTCCCATTTAGACTTCATCTAAACACATACAGATGCTTTCATACAGTGGACTCTCAAAGACAGTGTGCACACTAAGAACACCTTTTAAAACACACAAAGATTTATGCACAAAGATGTCCCTGTCAAGACATCAGTATCATTGCATATTAGAGCTAGAAATGTTTTTAACCTCTAGTTGCATATTTGCATCACTTGGAAAGGTTGTTTTAAATACTAGTGGTCTGGACTCACCTGCCAAAGATGTCCATTAAATTAGCCTGGGGTGCATCCAGGCTCAGGTATTAAAGTTCTCGGTGATTCTTCCACGGGTCTAGTCCAAGTCATTGCTATCCAGGTCAATACTGAGGTCTAGGAGTACATTTGAAGCCTGCTGCCCTTTCCACAGTGGAAAGCTTCCCAGAGCCTGAAGAATCACAAATATAAACAGCCATGATGGCCCTCTATGAAAGAAAATCAGCAGAACTCTACCTGAATGGGTGAATGAGAGCAGAGGTAAGTGGATTTCCAGGGTTCTGAGAATAAGGACTTAGCCTTTCAAAGACTAGAAGAAAACTTTCTTGAAACGTTTAAAGGGCAGATGTTGTAGCACAGTGGATTAAGTTGCTGCATGGGATGCCCGCATCCCATATCAAAGTGCCTGGGATCAAGTTCTGGCTCCTCTGCTTCCTATCCAGCTTTCTGCTAATGTGCCTAGAAGGCAGCAAATGAAGGTTCAAGTTCTTGGGTTCCTTTCACCCAAGTGGGAAACCCAGATGGAGTTCCAGGCTCCTGGTTTTGGCCTGGTCCGGCCCCAGGTGCTACAAGCAGTTGGGGAGTGAACCAGAGGAGGGAAGTTATGTGCGTGTATGTGTGGGTATGTGTTTGTCTCCCTCCCCCTTCTGTCTTTCAAATAAATAAATCTTCCAAAGGAAAAAAAATATGAAATGCTCAAGATCTGCCACTCCATAAATATGAAGTATGATACAATCCCTTATTTGGTGCTGTACCTTTGGCCTAGTTAGTATATACAATTATTATCCAAATATGTGAGGCTATGTTCTCTTGGACATCCTGTCCTCAGTTTAACATTCAACAGGATGGCCACTGTTATTTAGAATTCTCCTGAGAGAGCAGGCCCCAGAGTAGAGACCTGGCACACTCCCTGTCTCTCCTTGCCGTGTTGCTTCAGCTCAAAATGCATCTGTGCTGCCTTTCCCTTTGGGAATTTCCCCTATAGCTGGAGAGTAATCATTATGCAAATACGAAATACTTTGGAAGTTCTAGAAAGGAAGAGAATTTGTTTAAGCAATCCTGTTACTACAGTTTAAATGCGAGATAACAAACAGCTATTGTGATTTGATCTGTATTCAAATTCCACTGTGTGGTTTGTATAATTCTGAATTAAATTAAATTCAACTTTTCCTTGAGATTTGTATATGCCTTTGCCAAAACTTCTGTGTTCCCATAAATCTCCAGATCTATGGACCATCACCCAGTCTGTTTATATTCTCTCTGTGACCTTAAGGCCATTCTGGGAAAGACATTAAAACATTTCTCTCTCGGAATGTTGGTTTGACTGAGACGTTATTTGGATTTTTTAAATAGTCTAAATGCCTGGGGTGAACTGAAAGGAAATGCTGTAGTGTCCACTGTGGCCTAATAAATAGGGCAAGTCATGTTCACTCAGGCCCAGCCCTAAGGGAGAAACAAAGTCCTCCCTCTTGTCCTGAAGGTCAAAACTCCTTAGCTTCCCTTGTCATAGTCTCTGCCCCTACATCCTCACAACTTTCTAAACAATAGACTGCTGGTTAATGATTCTTTATATTAAACTTTCTCTGCACCAATCACCACATGGCTTCTCCCTCCTGGTCTGACCCATACTGATATAGGGCCCTTGTTGGACTCTGAGCTCCCCAGAAGCAAATCACCTGGGTGAGGCAAACACTGGTGGAATTGCAGGCCATTCAAGTTCAAGGTTGGCACCTAACAATGAGTGCCTTCTTAAATGCTGCGCCCTAGGTGCCTCACTTGCCTCTCTTCTCGAGGCCCTGAAGGTGCTGTTTGCTTGCTTGCTTTTTTTTTTTTTTCAGAGTGTTATCTAGCAAAGCCACAGGATTAGTAGGTGCTCATTTAGCATTTAGTCAAAAACTGAATTGCCTTTTCCTCCTCATAATCATTTCCTTAATGTAGTTTGAGAAAACATCGGAGTCTACACACAGTATAGCACGGTGTTCAAACGCGACTTCAAAGTCTTGTAGATCCAGGTTCAATACTAGCCCTACTATGACCCTGAGCAAATTCCTCAGGGCACCTAGGCTTCTTTAGCTGTAAGACAGAGATAATAATAATAACTACTTTGTAGGATTGTGGGAAAGATTCAATAATATTATGTATATAACAGGTTTACCCTAATGCCCTCAAATGTTAGCTTATAGTGCTGATGGGAGGCTAAAGTCACTTGCCAATATATTGGCCCAAAACTCCCCCAAGTCTGAGTCACAGAATGATGAAATAAAAACCAATATCCATTATGCTTGTAATTAATCTTTCAGAACAGGGTCTAAAGTCACAAAAATTGAACCCTGCCTCTCCGTGTCCCAAGAGTCAACCAAAAGCCAAAGTAAACAGGGTTCAGGAAGGAATGTAAAAAACAAAGCAATGGCATCAGTCTCCTTTCCTAAGAGAGAAGGCTTCCTTAGAGAAAATGTGCACCATTTGTTTTTGTTTGTTTTCCATTTCAAAAAACTGAAACTTTAATCAAATTCAGTTCAGTGAGTATTTAAGGCTCCTTACATGTTTCAGGAATTCTGCTCGGCAGTGAAGATTCAGAAATGAGCTCTTTGCTCTCGGGCAGACAGCTGTGGTGCTGTAGAGAGATGCATACTCGTGGAGCAAGGGCTGATTTGAGGGAGGCTCACTCTACCTGAGCAGGAACTCACAGGCTCTGCCAGAGGGAAAGGGCAGGCACTTGGTTAGGCCAGAAATGATCCCCAGAGGAGAAAAAGCTAACATCGTATTGCTCTATATTGTGGAAGTGGAAATTTAAGACCAGAAAGTACTATTAACATTACTCAAATGACCAGAACAAGATGGTGTTCTGTCTGAAACTCACAGTTAATACATTTGTTCGTGTTGAGCTTGTATTGGTACACTCAGACTGCTACAACAAAATGCCGTAACTCAGCAGTTTATAAGCGACAGACTTTTATTTCTCATTGCTCTAGAAGCTAGAAGTCTGAGATCAGAATGCCAGTGTGGTCAAATTCTGGGCAGGACTACCTTCCAGACTGTAGATTAGCTACTTCGGCCCAGCGCGGCGGCTCACTAGGTTAATCCTCTGCCTGCAGCACTGGCACCCTGGGTTCTAGTCCCAGTTGGGGTGCCGGATTCTGTCCCAGTTGCCCCTCTTCCAGTCCAGCTCTCTGCTGTGGCCCGGGAAGGCAGTGGAGGATGGCCTAAGTCCTTGGGCCCTGCACCCACATGGGAGACCAGGAGAAGCACCTGGCTCCTGGCTTTGGATCGGTATAGCACACCGGCCGGCCGGCGCGAAGTGGCTACTTGGGGAGTGAACCAACAGAAAAAGGAAGACCTTTCTCTCTGTCTCTCTCTCTCTCTCACTGTCTAACTCTGCCTGTCCAAAAAAAAAAAAAAAAAAAAAAAGATTACCTACTTCCCTCTGTAACCTTGCTTGGCAGAAGGAGCAAGCAGGTTGCCTGAGGTCTGCTATAAGGGCACTAATCCTGATCATGAGGGTTTTGTCCCTGAGGTGACCTAATTCTCTCCCAATGTCCCCATATCCTAATCACCAGAACACTGGGGGTACAGTTTCAACACATGAACTTGGAGAGGACACAAGCATCCAACCTACAGCAGAGTTTCTAATATTGACAATGAAACTACAATCTGTGAACATTTAACATGTGCTAGACATGTTATATACTTCAAATTACTTTGATCCTTCCAAAAATCCTGGAAGGAGGAATTATCATCACAATTTTACACATAAAGAACCCGAGGCTCTGACAGAATAGTAATTTTTAGCTAGAGTAGTGGAGCTAATATCACCTTCCCCGAGTCTGCTGTTGGCCTGTTACTGCTAACTCTGCCCAATTTTTAGGAGTCCATTTTTCTGCCTGTAAACAAAGTCACACAGGGGCTCTAGAACACTTCTAAAACTGACTAAACTTGCTATGCATTCCTTCATAAAACACTAGCTACCATATAGGCTAGATCCAAATACTTTTTCACAATTGATAATTATATTTTAACAGAAATATACAAGTGCTACCCAAACACAACTGACTTCCTATATTATATCTCTAAAATAGTTCTAACAGATTAATTGTAACTACAAAGAATAACACAAGAAAATGTTTTCAGATTTTTATACCATCCTTTGCCCAGTATGTACAACCCCAGCACAGAACCTGCTGCAGAGTGGTCAGTCAACAAACGTTAGTGCCCTTCTCCTTCTTTTCTTCTGGTGTAAACTATTAAAAATCCAACACTGAGCTGCACAGACATCTTAGCAGAGATGTGCTAGAAAGCAGGCACTCCATAAACTACGGAACAGAAAATCACAGGCTTATCACCCACTGGCATGGTTCATGGCCATCTTCAAATCACCTCTTAAGAGATACTATTGCCAGTTATGGTTTCACCCAGGGAGTGACCATGGCCCAGAGCCTTCCATTCACTTGGCCAGGGACTTTGCAGACCAAAGAGGTCATTCCCAGTCAACAGACATCCTTTGCATTATCCCCTTAATCATTCCCACATTGATGTCAGAAATAAGTTCTCTAAGAGTAACCAAGGAACAGGATTGGAAACTATAAAACTAGGACACCAGAGTAGGCAACACATAACAAGAGATCCCTGAAAAAGCTCTATGAACAGCCCAGGGAATGGCTTTGAGGAGGAGGATGGAGGGAAACAGGGTATATGTATCATGACATATCAATTTAGGCTTTGGTGACATTTGAGCACATATTTCTTGATTTGAGGAGGAGAAATAATGAGATGAAGAGATTCCCACATGCTAAGTACTTTGGCTGGCATGTAGGAGGTACTCAATAAAGAACAGCCATTACCATAAAGATGATATTATTAAAACTTCGCCATTTATTAGGGATGTTACACAAGTGCGGTGTGTCTATGTGCAAGGGACTGTAGAGATGAGTATTGTAGTAAGCTAAAAATTTGCCCTCCCAAAGATACCAGCTCTACTCTTCAGAATCTGAAAGTGTCATCATATTTGGGGGACAAAGAGGGGCGGTGTCTTTGCAGATGACATTAAGTTAGGGGTTCTGAGATGAGAAGGATAATCCCGGGCGATCAGAGTGGATCCTCAGTGCACTCACAAATGTTCTTAGAAAAGAGAGGAAGAGGGATATTTCACACTCAAGAGAGATAGGGGTGGTGGTG